CCGTGCCCAGCACTTGTGTCCGGCATGGTGGCAGCTGAAAAGGGACCTCGCCTGGAAACCAGTCAGGAGCAGGCAGGAATGTTTGCTGGGCACACACACTGGGGGCTCAGCACCAGCACAAACCAATGCTGCACGTACAGAGGTTCTTCAGGGGGATCTGGCAGCACATTTTCTCAGAGCTGGGCCATGTGGGCTTTCCTCACATGCCATCTGGTAGCCACAGCCAGGAGCACTGATGGCTCCATCCCCTCCACTCACAGGCTCTGTTACACTGAGCCTGATGAGGCAGAGGAAGTATTTTTAGTGGGATGAGAGTCCTGCACGAGGCTCTGTGCTGAGCAAGAGCAGGCAGTGATGCAGCAGCTACATCATCTCCAAAAAATAAACTTTTATCAACCCTCCATGGGAGCAGCCCCCAAGGCATTACAGCCCCGGGCAACACCCCCCACCAGACCCCTCCTGGAGGCTCCTGGGCATCCCTCCTTCCATGAGGTTGGGACCAGGGAACCCAACACTTGGGGATTTTATTTTTAGCCCAGCAAACTCTAAATACAGCCCATGAGAATCTGAGGGACTGCTCGGCCTGGGAAGTGATGGCACCAGGGAAACCGAGGCTGCCAGAGCTGCAGCACCAGGGTTCCAATGGGCAGGGCTCTGTCCTGCTTCCAGACACCTGGAAACACCTCAAACCTCTTATGGATTGAGCTGCACCAGGCCCAGGGCTGCTGCAGGGGGGAAAAGGGGCTGGCAGGAGTGGGTGCTGCTTGTCACTGACAGGAAAGGGGAAAGAGGGATGGGGAAGGTTCACTGGAGGCCAAAGCACACATTTCAGGGGGAACTGTGCATTTTTTCTTTTTTTGGTGAATGTTCCCAATGTGTGGGAGCAGGGGAGTTAAGTGCCTGTCTGTGAGGATGCCAGGAGTAGGGGGGTACAGGCAGAGAGCACCCCGTGATTCATCCCAGGCACCCTGGCAACCAGCTCCTGTTGGGGGGAAACACAGATGGAACAGGGATGCTGCAGCACCGATCCAACAGCATGGCAACAGCCCCTGGTGTGCTCTGAAGGATGAATTTGAAGGTCTGAACTATTCCCCTCTCTTGCACACTTCATGGAGGAGCTGTGTGGGGCTTCTGGGGGTCCAGCAGCTCCCAGCTCCTCACTCCCACTAAGACCATGGGGACAGTGAAAAATCTAATCCCGTGTGCCAAAAAATCCAGAGTTGTTCGAAACTCCTCTCCAGCCCTTGCACAGCAGGAAGGGGCTGAGGTTGTGCATGGCTGAAGCAGCAGGGTCAGCACAGCCCTGGGGTTGTTCTGCACAGCCACATCGAGGAGGAGCTCAATAAATAATTCAACCAAACCTGGGGTGTGTGGGAGCTGCTGCGGGTTCAGAACTCCTGGGCACAAATTCCCTGGGGAGCAGCCCTTCCTCAGAGGGCAAAAAGAGGTTCACAGCTACATAAATGTGGTTTATGCCCAAGCTACAGCTCATGAAAACCAAGAAACCACATCATGCATAAGCACAGCAAGTCTGCCATGAATAATTCAGTCTTGGGGTGCAGCAGCAGCCACACACCTGCACAGCCCCAAAGGCTCCAGCAGCCCTCACCAGGATTAGGGGTGAGGCCTGTGGAGCCACCACTCACATCCTGCACCCAGAGCTGAAGCAGCTCCTGCTCCACGCTGCTTCCCAGAGAGCTCCTTATGCAACTGCTGATGGATGGGTAACAAAACCTGTTGGAGAGCTGGGACTCTCCCTGTGGCACTGGGGAAGCTGCAGTGCTGCACCCCAGGGTGCAGGGTTGGAGCAGGACTCCAGCACGTGGGGTTTGCATCACACCTGCAGCCCTCACCTGGATGTGCTGCTGGAGCCAGCAGTGAGCCCCTGGCATCACAGCTCTGAACTCAGCCCTTTTATCTGGGCACCAGCTCCTGTGCCAGGCATGTGAATCACAGCCCTGGCTCACAGAGCTGGTCACCTCTCCAGGTTTATTTCAGTCCAGCGTGGTCTGGTCCAGCACAGCTCGAGTTACTGGAGTCCCTCCCGCAGCCCCAGCAGTGCCCAGATTCCTGGTGACACTGGATCTGCAGGGCTGGGGCTGTGTCCCAGCCCAGGTCACACTCACTGGCACTCAGAGTGAGCTCACACACGTACACTGCAGCCCTGCCCTCTTTCCAGCCATTTTCCAGGACCCACATCCAGCTCTCAAATCCTACAGTTGAACTGAAAGCTTTTGAATTACAAGAGAAAGTAATTTCTCCCTTAATTCTGCTCCAAACCCAATTTCCCTATACCAAATCATCCCCAGCAGCCTCCAGAGCTGCTGCTTCCTTTGGCCAGTTCCTCTTATAATAAAATCAATTTAAAGAAAGGCATGATCAAGCAGAGAGCACATGACAGGATTGTCACCAAGGGGACGGCAGCCTGGCCTGAGCTCACTGGGCTGTCAGGGCACAGGAGCTCCCAGGGGAAGCATCTGCTGCTTCCATCTGTTTCACAGGCACAGAACGGTTTGGATTGGAAGGGACCTTACAGAGCATCTTGTTCCACTCCCTGCCACCAGACCAGGTTGTTCCAAGCCTCATCCAACCTGGCCTTGAACACTTCCAGGGATGGGGCAGCCACAGCATCTCTGGGCAGTCACTCTGGAACCCTGTCCAGAGGAGCTGATGGGTAATTGTACAATATTCTGCTCCTTTTTAATGGGAAGGTTGACCATGACCACGAATTCATGGGAGAGAGCAAACACAGGGAAGGAGAAAACCCAGCCCAGCTCTGGGATGGCACCGTCTCAGTGCCCATGGAGCACTGGGAACCATTCTTGCCACACGGCTGCGCTGTCAGCAGTGGCTCACCTTGCCAACACCAAGCTGCTTCTCCACAGCCCAGTGCACCCTGTGCTTCCCTCCCCGCCCTTTGTGATGGATTTGGGCCCTGCTGGAGGCGGCTCCTGGGCTGGAGCTGCTGCTGATCCCTGCTGGAGCACCCCGGGACACGTCCCTGCGCTGCCAAACACAGCCAGCTCCAGCCCCTCCTGCCACTCACACAGCAGCACCTCTTCATCTGCAAGGTGTGGATCTCTGCCCAGACCTGCTGTACCAGTTCAGGTTCACAAGTGTCATTATCTAATGATACATCCCCAAGCTGCTTTAAGGTAATTTTTTTTATTTTAATTGTAAATTAGTGGAGAGCCAAACCTTTGAATTGTCCTGCTGCTGTGCTGTGCATTACAGCAAACCTGAGTTAGGGCCAGCTCCTACCACAAACACCTGCATTTAACACCACCACATTTACCAACGTGATCTGAACAAGGAGCATTTTGATGTCTCACGCTCTAACCCTCCATCTCTCATGGGACACAATGAAAATCACTCTGAACTCCTCAGGAGCTGCTAAATAAACAGGCTGCTGGCAGGTTCCTTGCTCTGAACATGGAAGAAAATGCTAATTAATTAAAAAACCCCAAATGAACTCTACAGATTCTCTCTCCTTTACAGAAATAAACTCACACATTTACACCCCCATCAGTTACCTCCAAGGCACCACAGAAAGGGCCAAGGCTTGGAAGTGCTTCCCAATCTCCCCCAGCAGCGCTGGCACCATGACAGCCAGATGGGAATTTTGGTTACATCACGTGCAAGTTGCTGCATCCCACCAGCTGCTGCTTGCTGGAGCTGATTTCCTTAATGAGGGTTCCCTTGTTGGGAAAGAAAAGATTTCAATTTGTCATTCAACAACTGTCAAGATAAATCCATCTTCAGTGGCATTGGAACATCCCAGGGGATCACCAGATCGTGTTTCACAAAGCCCTTACAATTAATCTCCCCAAGTGCAACTTTTCCTGAAAAATAGAGAAATACCTTCCAGGTGCAAAGCCAGCTGCTGAAGCAGGATTTCCTGCACAAACTCTGTATGTGCAGCTCTCATACCCCACTTTCTGAGAAACAATTCCAGCAACCTGCAGGTACAAGGAACATTGACAACGTGGATCCACAAACCTTTGCTGCTCCTGCAAATGATGGTTCCAGACACCTTGTAATAAATCAAAAAACTTTATTTTGAAGATATATTATAAATGTACAGCACACACAACATCAGTGTCTGGGGTTATGTGTGAGCAGGTTTAAAGCCTCAGCATTCATTCCAGCCCCGGCCATGGGTTCCACATCTCCACACAAAACAATCCTAGGCTGAACAGGTCTGGCTTTGCCAACACCTCCCTGACTTCCAGGAATATATTTCAGAACAGCAACTGCTTCAAATGGTCACAAATTAGCAGCATTCCTTGCTTTTGGCCTGGAGGATTTCTGCAGGGAGCAAATCCTGCTGGTTTTCCTGCTCAGGGAGGGGTCAGCGACCCACGCGAGCGTGGCCAGAATGAATCCCGAATTCCACAGGCTCAGGGATGTCTGCCCTAGTTTAAGCTTCAGAAAAGTAATGTTACACCTTAGGAAGAGCTGTGCATGCCACACACCGGCATCAGAGCCAGATCAAAGTTATCCTATGCAGTACCTAATTGCTGTATACACAGGTGAAATGAGAAAATGTGAAGTCAGTACCTTGCAATGTAATTTTACTGGTGCTGCCTCGTGGGAAGTGCTGGGTAGCAAATCACATTCGTGTACAGTTCATTAAGCCATGATAAAAATATGCAAATTAAAAATCTCTACAGGCCTCTGTTACCTGCTGCAACAGAGACATTTGGGTTTGTGGGGCTTCGTTTAAAACGTGATCCAATTTTCTCCCTCTCCCCAGAGCTCGATATAAAACTATACCCAAATTCAGTAAGAATTTAATGCATTTACATTTACTGAAGTTCACATGCTGCAAACAGGATCTGCATTGAAGATCTTCAAATCTAGGGCAAGAGATCCTTAAAAAAACCCTTTTGCTACACTGGATGTGGGGATGGAGGCGAGAACTACCACGAGAACATTCACATGAATGTAACACCCCGTGCAGGGAGGTGGGGACTGCCCCCCACAGCCCTGCCACAGCCAGCACAAACCCTTCCAAGGAGGAGCTGGCCCAGAGATGGGGATCCAGGCAGGATCTCCAGCCCCAAAGCTCCAGGACTCTCAGTTGGATGGAAATACCAGCTGGAAGCTGTTCTGTTGCTTAATAAAAATGGTATTTATTATTAAAAGTAGAAAACCAGGATGGTTCCTTTGGATGAAACACTGGCTATCCTTTGCACAAGCCTTTGGGAAAACTGCCCCTGGAGCAGAGCTCACAGTAACCTGTGCCCCTGGAGCAGAGCTCACAGTAACCTGTCCCCCCTGCCCAGGCAATGTTTGCTGACAGTGTCGCTATACATTCGTTTGGTGCGATGCTTGTTTTGGTGTGAACACCTACAAAAAGGTAATTGTAACAGTCCTAACTAAAAAAAGGATTTCAAGAACCACTAAAGAGTTCCTTGGATATGAAAATCAATCTCTGAAATGGAAGTTTGGTTCCAGGAGAGGAGGAAAGAAAGGGGCAGGGCTGTGTCAAGCTTTGGGTTCAGGTCTGTGACAGGGGCTGCCAAGAAGCAGCCACGAGCTGGAGGCCCTGGAACTCGTGCAGGAGAGAAGCTCCCACCTTCCCAGAGGAGGAGAGGCCCTGGAACTCGTGCAGGAGAGAAGCTCCCACCTTTCCAGAGGAGGAGAGGCCCTGGAACTCGTGCAGGAGAGAAGCTCCCACCTTCCCAGAGGAGGAGAGGCCCTGGAACTCGTGCAGGAGAGAAGCTCCCACCTTCCCAGAGGAGGAGAGGCCCTGGAACTCGTGCAGGAGAGAAGCTCCCACCTTCCCAGAGGAGGAGTGCCCTGATGGCTGCTTTGGGAACTGTGCAAGTCCTTTCTGCAGCTGCATGGAGAACACAAACGTCCTTGAGATGGAGCAAAGCCCAGCAGGGTGATCCTGTGTGACCATTCCCATGCAGGGATGCAGCAATCCCAAAGGAAGACTCACGTCCCTGCTCACCAGGAGAGGAGGAATGGCAGATTCTTTGGGCTGGAGCAGGGACAGAGGTTCAGCAGGAGAGTTACACCAGCTCAGGCTCACAGGTCAGGACAATCAAGGTCCAAGCTGTAAAGTAGCCACTGGCCTATTTTCCAAACACATCCCTTTAAATGCATCCCCCTAAAAAAGGAGTATAAATACGAAGCCCTGAGAACAAACTTCCATGTAATAGATTGCCATTAAAAATATCAGTGTTTTGGTGATACAATTATAAGTTAGATATATTTCAATAAATAGCTGGCTACTTGCAAGAGGCCTGCAACATCCAAAGGTACAAGATTGTCTGGCTACCAATGGGGCGAAGAGCAGGAACTGTAAGAATCACACCATTAGTCACCCACCACCCCATCCCTTTCCTGCTCCATCTGCCAGGCTTCCAATAATTTTCTCTTGACCATGTTTACAGAAAATTAACTCTGACATGTCTGTGCTAGCTGGAACTTGAACACCCAAGGTGCAAGCACAGGACCTGAGCCTGTAAATCCTCACTGCTGGGAGCAGCTTTTCCTCACAAAACCTGCTGGTTTTATTGAACAAAAATCTTTCCTGTGTGTTCAGGGATCTCTCACTGCCCTCAGAGCAGATCCCCCAGTCCTGCACCCAGGGACAGCACAGCTCCTCACCAGGCAAAGCCTCACACATTCCCTGTGCCCCATGGCTGCACCGTCCAGCTCCAGAGTGCTGACACCTCAGCTTTTGCAGGTTTTCCAAAACCTGGGCCAATCTGTGCCTTTCCAAGCACAGGGGACTCAGCTCCCCTCTGCATTTTCTGGGATAAACAGCAATCCCAGCCCTGGGGAGCTGGGACACAGCCCCTGCTGTAATTCACACCCCAGCACCACTGACGTCAATTCCTTCAACCTCACCGGGGCAGTTTTTGCTGGGTTTAAATCAACTCCTGGGCCTTGCTGCAAACACCACACCCCCCAAATTCTGCTCTCCTTCAGCTTTTGGCCACTGCAAACCTCAGTTCTCACAGGCCAAGCAGGGCTCTGTTAAAAGCCACCCCAAACAACACCTCAGCTGTGCAAGTGTTGAGCTCTGGAATAACAAAATCCAGAAATAACCACATCTTCTCAAGCCTCCCAGCACCCTAAAATGCAGAATTCCTTTATCCCTAGGGTCTCCCAGCTGCTGCTGCTGGACCTGGGCATTCTCACCTCCTATCACATCAGGATAATCTGTTTTACTGGTGCTTTTCCCCACCCTTTATGACAGCTCAGGGGCACTGAGGGGTGCTGCCATTCTGAGCTCTTCCATCCCTCTGAGCTCTGCAGTCCAACCATGGCCTCCTGAAACCAAACCCAGCATTTCCCAAGCCTTTACATTCTTCAAGGGCCACAACTGCCCCAAAGGATCTGTTTGCTCATTCTGAACCTCTCCTTATCCATTCAGAAGCCAAAAAACCTCCCACCAAACTACAGGGTAGCTTTTCCCAACTTTGCCTTCTCAAAACACTCATTAAAAGGAATATTAACCACAATCCTGACTGTAGAGAGGGACATTTCTCTCTAACATTAAGAGCTTCAAGTAAAAGAGTCTTCTGGTATTATTACAGGTAAAAAGCTTCAGGAGTAAGCAAAAAAAAAAAGGATTAAATAATCAAAACCTTTTATAAGACCACAATATTCAGTCACAGCTACTCATGAGTAGCTGTGCTGAGCTCACTGGGGTGCAGGATCAGGCTCCTGGCTTCAGTTACAGGACAAGGTTATAATTTCATGTCATGGCAGTCTATTCTTAGCAAGAGCCCGCAAAAATGGTTTTACTGTCCAATTTGAACAGAAGAAACATCTCTATAAAGCTTGGAATTTCTAAATGTAGAAGTAAATATTTCAGCAGTCATCAACAGTAAAGCTTAATATGAAATTACAAAATTAAAAAAAAATAAAAGAATCCTGGGATAGTAAGACAAGATAAAATCTCAGGCTGTTTTGATTTCCCCACCCTTCATATTAATTATGAGAAATTGGCAACTTCAGTGCCTCAGCTGCATAACAGCACAGAGCAGATGCCAAGTTCAGGCCAAAACTTGTTGTAGGGTTTCAGGTTGCATCTTGCTGCATTTTTGTTTAAAAAAACCCAACTGCACCTAAATCCCTCCTACAGCTCCGAGGTGACTTGCTCAGGATCTCCCTGTCTGACAGGACACCTTTGTGCTGTTTAAGCACAGGGTCTGCACCTGCTTTCTCTGCAAAATTTGCCTCTTCTGCCTTTCCTGGAGGGCTGTGAAGCACAAGGCATGGCAGGGATGATGACAGATGTCAGTCATGTTGCACTGAGTTGAAAATAAACCCCTTTTTTTAGCAGACTGCTAAAAAAGTAACACCTGCAGAGCCCAATCATAAACACCAGCTGGATATTCACAGTGAGTTCTGCTCTTAATAGCTCAGAATTTCTCTCTGAAATCTCAAATCAGTCTTCTGGCAAAATAGGAAAGACCCAGCCTGACATTCTTGGTATGACCATGGTAAAAATAAGGATAAAGAAAACCCCACTTCTAACTCAAAGATAGCAATTTCAAGCGTGCTTTAAATACCTTAAACAGGATAAAAACCTGTGTGGTTCTGCTGCTTTACAGAACCCCAGCAAACCCCCCCATGCAATTCAGCTGCTTTTTTTTGTAAACAGAATAAAACCCCCACAAGCCCCTTGCCAAAACTGTGCACATAAAAATAAGAAAAAAAAAACCCACTGTGTGAACATATCCCTCCTTGCAATGGGATATGGCAGAGTGTGAGCTTAGGAGTTGCAGCCACTTGGGAATCCAAGTCTTGATGTGGTGAATTCTGTGGTGAAAGAAATCCTGCACCTTTACGGTACCTGACAGAGAACCTCCTGCAAGTACAACCCCAGTGGGACTGCAACAACACTAACGCAGCAAATAAATAGGAAAAAGTAATGCTATTTATTAGAATTCCATCTCTGAATGATTCTGCTTAAATTAGAATGCCAGATAAACAAGCTTGGATAGAAATGTGCTTGCTTTCCCAAGATTTGGGCTTTTAAAAAACATTTCCTAAGAATCAATTTCTTTTTTTTTAAAAAAGCAGTTTTGCAATTTGATAAGAGCTATAAATTAATACTGTATGGAGATGATTAATATCCTATGCTAGTGGTCAGTGACCTTTTGTAAACACCAGCCAGATCCTAGCAAAACTGGCCAGAAAACTGTCACAGGCCTTTTGAACGAGCAATATTTCTTTCCAACAATCAGATTCTTAAATGTTTTCACAAAACCTTTTTCCTATTTTTTTTTTTAATATATATACTTTATTTTAAACCTAATACCTGAAAACATGAACAAATCCTCAAACCTCTTCCACTAACACTAAATCCACAAGGCAACTCACTCCTGTTGGCCGTAACTACGAACTCTCTTGTGTGAGAGAGACCCCTCCAGCCAGGATTTCCCCCTTCCCTCCCTTCCCTCCACCCCTTCCCAAGCATCCAGGCAGCCTCCTGAGGAGGTGGAGGGGGAGTGAGGCCAGGGGGAGGTGGCACAGTGCACTGGCAGCTCCCTCTACGTGCGGTTCAGTGTCTGGAAGATGCGGGAAATCTGTAACATCACCGGCCCCGTCTCGGGATCGTTCATCCACTGAGTGCTGTTCAAGGGGTTTTCAAGCATATCCTCGAAGGCTGCCAAGAAAAAGGGATTGCAAACTGTTAGTCCTTCAATGTTTGGGAGGTTTCACCAGCAGGGCAGTGAGGAATAGCTGCAGCTCGAAGGCAGTGCCCAGGAACGGTGGGGATGCACGTTGGGCATTCCCAAGGGAACCACAGCCTGGGATGGTGGCACAGGCTTTGTGCTTTCCTCCCTTCTCAGCACTGAACTCACTGCAGACAGTGATTAAATGCTCAGCCTGGATTACAGGCCAGCCCACAAAACCTCAAGGACATGAGGTTGAAAAGGTAAAGCCTTAATAAACGTGGCCAGGCCTCAGTCTCCAGATCATGCCATGGAATTTATCCATTCCTGAACACTCTCCTGCAGCTCCATTCCTCTGACCAAAGCTTTTCCACATCCCAGCCTGGATTTCTTGCACCAATATCCTTTTCCTCCCTGGTACTTAGCCAAGACAGTTCATGGAAAGCACAGCACCCCATGTCTGTTCCCTGTGCTAGCTGGTCCAAATATTTAATATTCTGTCTCTACAACAAGCTTTGCTGTTTGTTTGCCTTTTTGTTGTTTTCTTTGACCGTTTCTAGTTTTTACTCTTCTACTCATGCTGAAGGAACCAGGCAGCCACTGCAAGAGCTGAGCTGCCAATCTGGCAGAGGAATGGGCCAGGCACTGATTTAAGCCCTTGGACAGCCACTGAGCTGGGCTCCTGGACATGTGGAGCCAGTCATCACAGAAAGGGACAAAAAAAGCAGCTGCACACTCACCAAAAGGTCAGTGTTGTAAGAGCCTGGCCCAAAGTCAGGGTTGATTTTCCCAGGAGTGTCAGGGCACAAAGCTCAAGGGCCATTAGTGGGAGCTGGAAGTGCCCAGCACCTCTGAAAGGCTCCTCATTAATACCTTGCTCAAGGTCATGCAACTTGCCTCCAGGAAAGCCCAAAATAAAACCCAGATCTCCCCTTTCAGCACTTGAACTATCTTCTTTAACACAGACTCACAAGCTTAAAACTAAAGATTTATCAATATTCTGTAAGGAGGTCATTAAATGCAAACCCTCATTACTAAAACCTGTGACATAAGCAATTTGCAGAGTTATCATGAGGAATTTATTCTCTGATGTTCATCCAAGCTCCATGAGCTCCTATAATGGCATTTCATTTTCTATTTATATTCTGAGCTGCAGTGTGGAACCCCTGTTGGAAATGAAGAGACCATTTGTTCAGAAATCAAGAGTGGGAAGGTTCTGCTCTTGAATTATTTAAAGGCTTGCAAACTCTCCTAATTACATTTAAAGTAGTATTTTTAAAGGCTCTCTTGAATGAGCTGTGCACACAGCCTTTATTTAAAAGCATTGCTTCAAATAAGTTTTGAAGCCAAAGATTAAATGCAAAACTTTTTATAACTACATGGCAGGGCCAGTCATTGTTCTGTGTTGTCAAAAAGAACAATTCCTCAGGGATTTGGGGCTCTGTCAGTCTCCTCAGCTGGGCACACACAGCCTTTCTGACCCTGAGCACACAGACTTTACCACAGAGCTCAAACTCAGGCAAGGGGAAAGATGTTTTCCCATTTTATCTCCATTTTGATAGGCAAAGCCTTAGCTCAACCTTCTTGTTGGGTTATTTTTCCCCAAGTTCCCTTCTGTCCCAGTGATCAGGCCTCACACACAGGGAGCTGCACAGCCTTGTTTTTTCTGTGAAATAATCAGAGTTCTAGACAGACATTCCTGATTTTTCCCCTCGTGGCCAAAGGGAGCACACAAAAGGTCTCCTAAATCCACAAAGCACTGCAGCCAGCAGCTACCCAAGTTCTGAGTTCAGCAAGTGTAATCCTGGGGAATTACAGCCACTCCTGGGCCAGCCCCCAGGCCTGCTCTGGGCTCAGCTGAGCTGCAGGATGGAGCAAACAAACAGCAGAGCTGCAAGGGAGGAACAGGCTCAGAGGGGCTGTCACCATCACCTCTGCTTGGATTTCCCAGCAAACCCAGCAGGAACCCACACAGCACTTACCTAGTAGAGTTTTAGGGTTGGTGAGCCCTAATTGTACCACTGGGTTTTCTAAGATGGCTTGGAAGAGAGGGCTGTTGGTGTCAATGCCCTTATCTAAGTCCTCTGGAGAAGGTTTTCTGTCTCCCAGCAGCCACTCACACTGAAAGAAATCAGCAGGCACATCACATTTCATTAGGACCAAAGTGGCTCTACTCAAAAGTTTTGCTAATGTGGCATTTTATAAATACTTTTCCCTCTCCTAGTTAAAGCCTGAGCTGTACATTTCTTTTCACACATTCATTTGTGCCATCCAACCCAATATCCTCTCTCCAACAGCAGCCAGCACTGGATATTGAAGAGAGGCTTCCCTGGCTGCCAGCTGTGTCCACAAAATTATCCTTAATATACAGCAGGGGATTAATCAATCTTGGAAAAACTTCTTGTTTTCCGATCCCAGAAACTGTGGGAGCATTGCTGCCAAATGGTAATTTACACATTACATGGCTTGAATCCATCCTGGATCACTGACTCCTGTCCTAAACCAGTTATTCTTGGGAATATCTTCTCCTTCCTATGACAGCACAATCTCACACTGTGGGGAGGGAGTTTCTCAAAGTTTCTTTTTGACAGCCCAGCCTCAGCCTGGCAGACCCTGAGCTCTCAGAGGAGTCCAGACCCTTTCCAGCTGTGTACCCAACTTCAAGGAGGCACAGAATTTGTGCTCCTGAATCTTCAGCAGGAGATTCAGCCAAGGAAGAGAAGCATCAGGGGGACAGATCCTTGGAGCAGGAAGGATGTTGTACTCACAGCTGCATTTTGCTGGTTGTTGTTCACTCTGAGTGCATCCACCACTTCCTTTTCATCAAATCCCATCTCCATCAGGGCAATGACAGCCTAGAGCAGAACCCCACAGCTTAATAAATTTTACATTTAGATCAGAAACGAGAGCAATCATATCCCTTCACCTTTTGTGCACAGCTTTTTGTGTGGTAAAACCCCCTCATTATCTCCATGTGCAGAGCACTCAGTTATTTTATTAACAAAGTTTTCAATATTCTATATCAAAAGTGTCTTTATTGTGGAAGAACAAAAAAAATCTTAGGAGTGAAGGTAGTTCCTACCCTCAACACACTGGAAGCTGAATGCAAGGCAAAGAGCAAGTGTACCTGGGGTAGAAAAGAGAAGGAAAATGAGGGAAAACTCCTCATTTTGGAGCTCCTCTCCTGTCACAAAGCTCTTGTTCACATCTCACTGACAGATCAGCCTTGATGTGCATTTGTGGTTCTTTCACCCCATTTAATTTCACTTCCCAGATTTATTTCACTGCTGGTGAGTGTGATTCAGACAAACAGCAGATAATGGCACCAGAATGTTTTATTGTTTAGAAATTGCACCCAGGCCATCAAACACATTTGCAGCTCTTAACCCAGACCTCAGAGCAGCCAGTTGTGAACCCAAGGTGCCCCAGAGCCCCTCCTGGTGTGCTCCCAGTGGGAGAAAACACATTCCCACTGCAGGTAATGCTGTGCTCTGAACAAAGGGCAACTCCTGTCCTTGCTGCAAGACTCAACCTGCTGGTGGCACTTTGCCTTGTTCCCTAAAACAATAATGTCCTTCTGTCCTTTCCACAGAATCATGGAATGGTTTGGGTCGGAAGGGACCTTAGAAATCATCCAGCTCTAACTCCTTGCCAGGAGCAGGACACTTGGGTTTTCTGGCCCCATCCAGCCTTTTCTACAGGCAAAGGATGTACTCCTGTCCTGCCACCCTTCCTTCCCAGGCTGCAGTGAAAACAGCAATGCCAGGGGTCTGGAGCTCATGTCAGTCCCCTCAGAGAGATTCCAGGTGCAGAAGTAACAGTGCTTTTCATGTAGATCCTGCTATCCCAGGCAGTGATGCATTCCTGAGGTAAAATCCCTGAATTTAAACACTCCCTGAACACCTCACTGAAACACTGCCAAGCCAGCACAACACCCATCTACCCAGAGGTCCCATTTGAAACATTTGGATTGCATGGTTCCCATGAGATCCCTCCCAGTCCCACAAGCCCCACAGGGATAAGCAGCACCCACCCGTGGGTCAGGACGAAATTCTCTTTTCCTGCGGATCTTCTTGAAGATTTCAGTCAGCTCATCCTTGGCCTCCTCCCCGCCCTCCTCAGAGCTGGGCCCTGCAGCTGCCTCAGCAGAGGAGGCAGCAGCTTCAGCTGGGGCTTCTGCAGGGGCTTCTGCAGGAGCAGCACCTGGCAGAGGAGCATCCACAGAAGGGTCATCAGCGTGTTCTATCAACCACTCCATGGCCTGGGTCACAGACATGCTGCAAAACACGGGAACAGCACTGAGGATGTGCAGCCACCTCCATGTGCACTCATTTATCCCCGTGCTGGATCAACCTGCAGCTTAATTAGCACCTGAAAACTCACAAAGAAAGTTTTGGAGCAAACAAAACACCTCAGTTCTCTGGGCATCCAGAATTGTCTCTGAATCTGGGAAAAGAGAGGCTCCAAGTGCAGCTTGGACCTGCAACCCAGATTCTGAAAGGCATTTCTGAGGGGGTCACCCTCACTCTGCAGCATCTGCTGAGTTTCCCAAAGTTGGCTGTTTGCAGCTGTGGACAGAACTGCCAGCAAAGCACGTTCCAAATCTGCACTGGAGCCACATCTCAGGTGCCAAGGGCTCTGTTCCTCAGGGACAGGGGAGCAGAACACCATGGGGTGACACCATCACTGGCTGTGCAGTGTCACTGTCCAGCTAAGGGAGCCTCAGAGCTCCCCAGCACTTCTCCCCAACAGGCAGAAAGGAAAGAGCCAAGATAACAACAGTGCAAGGAATGTGTCATTCCATTATTGCATATTCACAGAAGGGAAAGCCTTTGTCTATTTGGCTTTTCTGTTACAACATGAAAGCTGCAGGACAGCAGGGGGGAAAGTCTTCCTGAGAGACTGGAAAAGTGTGATTGGATTATGTTGTGGATTCTATCACCAAAATTTTTCAAGAATGGCCTAACAAACCCCTCTGAGGAGTGAGGCAGTACAGCTGCCTGTTCTTGGGGCACAAGAACAACTACACAACCTCTCCTATTTTACTGCAGCTGCTCTCTGGACTTCACAATATTCTTGGAATTTTTTAAAGATCAGCACAAAGTGTATTTCTACAGCTGAAAGGCCAATGTGGACGGGCTAAGTTTGCCCTTTCCTCTGTAAAATCAGAGTTTGAAAGCTGAAGAAAATGTGAGTTTGATACTTGGAAACAGTGCCAGCCTGGCAGCCCTGTGACCCCCAGACCTTGCAGAGCACATCCAGCCCTGATCCCCCTTCCCTGCACCACCTGCACTGTGCCTGAGGCAGCACTTCTTGGAGCTCAGGCTTCCTCCAGCCCCCACTGAGGTGACCCATATCAGGAGACCAAAAAGATGCAAATGTGTGTTGAAGCAGATCTGTGTTGAAGTGCCAGGCAGTGCTGGCCACTCACTGGTTGAGCCTGAGGGCTTTGACAGCTCTGCTCTCTGGGAATCCCATCTCGGTGAGCTGGCGCAGCGCGATCTCGTCCACCCTGTCCTCCTCATCCTCATCCAGCATGGCTGCACACACACAAACAAAACAGAGCTCACATTCATGCCAGCCTCACATAAACCCCTGTGTCAATGGAAAGGCATGTGTTAAGTTCAAGCCCCATTCTCTCTCCCATCCCTTCTTTTGTTTCTGCCCCCACTTTGCCACCTCATCATGTAATTTGCTGCACTCAGCTCGCTCTGGCTCAAATTGATTCTTCCAGGACAAAGATTTTGCCCAGATGTGTTCAAGATCTCAAACAAAAGCCCACTAACTCTCACATGGCCATGGGATTTCCACACAATTAAATATATGAAGATCTATTATGCATTTCTCTAGAAATTAAGTTGGATGTGGCCATTACAGAGCTCAAGGATGAGCATTTCCTGCCAACCTGATTAAAAGCCACCATCTCTCCTCATTTTACCACATCCTTGTGAATTTTCAACTATTCTTTGCCATCCCTACTAATAATTTTTAAATAGAACTTGTTACCCATCCCAAAGGGACCTTTTAGATCCATGATTTTTATCCACAAGGTGAAACTTTTGCCACAAAGTTTTCAGCAGCTTTGCTGCCACATCAATGTGTGAACTTCACTCTGAGCCCATTCCTATGATCCAAAAACAAATTCCCAGGATTGAACCAACAACTCTAAAGATATGTTCATACCATTTGCCTTCTTAAATAGTTCAACTGCATCTGGGTTCAGTGCTAGCAGTTTCTGTGCAACTTCTATGAGAGACACTAAAATCTTCCGGAGTTCTGTCTGGAACTGCAAGAAAGGAAACTGTCAAAGCATTTAGACAGGAAGTCACCAGCTATCACTGAATCTTAATGTATCCATTGTTAGTAACACAGCAGCAGCCTGGCCCTCTGGACACTAAGTTGCTTTATTAGGGCTTGATTTTCATTGTTTAGTCTCTCAGGAGGTCTGGGACCTTCCTGTGAAGTGTTACATGGAAGCAAAAGCTCCTGGGCAGAAAGTTGCTTTTTATTTCCACCACACCCCATGGGCAGTGGTCAAGGAAGGGAAATAAACCACAGGAAACCTCTGAGTTAGTTAAGATTGAAGAAATAAAACTCCATATCTTCACATTTTCCAGATCTTTTTCCAAGCACAAACAAAACGTTTTAAATCCTAATTTAGGACAGTATGTTATTACCATGTGTCTAAATCTTAAGCTATTTAACATACATACAGACATCTAAATTTCTCTTATAGAAAAAAAAGAATTATATAAAAATAATTATAAATAAATAGAAAGCAGCCTGTTGGGCTGCGGGTGGGTGAGCTCAGAGATGCAGCACTTACATCCCTCATGTTGTGGTGGGTCACGCTGCGGTCCGCGCTGCGGGCGGGCAGGTTGGCCGTGGCTTTGAGGATGGCATCCTTGTCAGGAGCCTTCTGCTCCTGCTTCCTCTGCAGGGAAGGGAACAGGAGCAGGTTTCATAACCCATTAGGCACAGCACAGAGCTTCATATTCCTCCCCAAGACACCAAGCAGGGCTCTGTCACTTGTAATGCCATGGATTAACAGCTCCAGTGTCACCCTGCAATTACAGAGCTCAGCTGGGCCTGTTGGGCTGCCCCACTTTCAGTCCTCACACCTAAACATGCAGGGAAACTCCAGCACAAAGAGGGACAGTGATGGATCCCAGAGAACTTGGAGGCCTCTGAGTTTATGTGATACATCAATGTGCATCCACACCATCCTGACCCTCAGGAACAACTCCAATAAAACAAAATAAAACAGGCAAGGGCAACATTCCAGCTCCAGAGGCTGGTTAGAGGGTGACAGAAGGCAACCTGACAGCAAGCCAACATATTTCTTTGTGTTTTCTATCAAACTAAGGCACTTGCTGAACTGTATTTGAGTTATTAGGCATTTGTTCAAAGATCAAATCTGTAACATTTTCACAGAGTGTATCTATGTGTCTTATTTTAAGGCAAATGTTCTCAAAACGACAGCTAAAAATGCAAAATCAGCTTCCTCTAAGTTTGGAAGAAATAAGAAGCAGCTCCTGTAGAATTTAACTGGCAGCATGTGCCTCTCCAAGGAGAGTACATCACAGAAACCCTTCCCCATATCATCAATAAAACAGTTAACACAAAATGTTCCAGACTCACTTTCTCCTCTGCAACCACATCTGACATCTTGGGGAGCAGCGTTGGCGCGCGCTTCTTGACCAGCAGCAAAACATCTGTGAGAGAGAGAAAAGAACACTGACAGGTTAGAGAGTCTGGGACAGCAGCTCTGCAAGATACCCTCAAATTTAACTGCTCCTGGAGATGAATTTTGTATTAGTTCCATTTATTTAGCTTCCTGTGTCAGAGCAGAGAGAAAATCTTAAAAACGTTTGGAACGTGCCAGATGAAACCCAAGCTCCTCCTTCCAGACTGATAAAATTCCAACCCAGACAATCTCACCTCTGTCCTGAATGTTCTCCTCCAACACTGTTTTTGTGTCTGTCAGCACCTTCTCAGAAGTAGCATGGATCAGCTTGTGATGTGTCACAGTTTTGGGATCCTCCAGGCTCCCAGGAAGACACTGCAGGAGACAACAAACACTGCAGATCAGAAATGAGAAACTGGCACTCAGGATCCTCCACATGCAAACTCTGCATCATTCCCTGCCTTCTCAAGAGCTTAAGCCAGAGGTCAGGGCACATGAAGCATTTTATTAAAGAAAATGAGGTTTGGTTTGTGCCTGTGAGGGTGGATTTGTGCTTTCTCAGGAATCTCACACTAAGCTCTGGAAGTGCTGGAGATCTGGAGCAAAGCAAGGATGCTCCAGGACCCACTGCCACATAAATTCTGACCACTGAGGTCCCTCAGAAACTGGTTTCACAAAGTAAAAATGCAAATCTACCAGGAGCAGCAGTGTTGTACAGGAGGGAAGGCTGGAATGATGCTTGTGCTCATTTGGAGTGTCCAAACAGGACAGACTCCCTGCCTCACCTCATAATTATTATTTACTCTCTGAGTCAACAAGGCACTGCCAGCAGGGATTTTGGTTTCTCTGACCTTAAACTGAGCAGTTTCTGCACCTTGTTTCAAGCTGAAATCAAGAGATTTGCCTGCTGGAGCCCTAACCTGGGTTCCTGCTGAAAGGGCTTGAACTAAAGTTCCATTCACAGCTCTTCCTCCCAACCATAAATAATCTGAACACAATGGAATTACTTTTTTTTGTGCTCATTCCCTTGTTGCAATTCTAAATTGCATGCCAATTAATTCACCAGGAAATCAGTTCAAATCCTAAAAAAAGAGTGCTCACACAGGCCTTGAGCTGCCTCCTCCTCACACCAGAGTGGCTCCAGATGCACAGTGAAAGATTTCAGGAACATTATTCCATCAGAGCATCTAGAGGCTTCCAATTTGTTTGAGTGCAAGGCAAAGAAAGCAAAGTGCTTGCAATTCCAGAAAGGCAAGATTAGAAATAACAACCTGAAATTGCTGTTCTCACCACAAAACAGGACACTTCACACTGACCCTGCCTGCTCTGCCCACAGCAAACAGCTTTTAGTGCCACTTCCAAGTGTTCCTACCAAGCCACTTCCACCATGTGTGCAGAAGAGAGTGTTCAGCTTTTGTGCAACAGAAATACTACTAAAAATCCTAATTTTGGTGCTGTTCATCCTGCAAAGGAGCCTTTTTAGCCATCACCACCCTTCCTGCTGCCTGCAGCTGATGGAAACAGCTCCCTGCTCTTTGTCCAACAGAACAAAATTCCTGTTCCCAACACAGATTCTAAAATTCCAGCCCTCACCTGAACCTGGCTGTGGCTCTGATGTCTCCCTGAGATTGAGGTGAGAATCTCTGAGAGCTGCTTTGTCTCACAGGGGCCTCCAGTCCAAGAAGTGCTGAACCCAGGCCAAAGAACACATTACCAGCTGGGAGCACCTCCTGCAATGGAGCTGATAAGGGCCCCAAATGCCCGGGGACATCAGTGAACATCTCTGCAAAGCAGCTCAGAACATTCCTGGTACGGATCCTGAGGTGAGAGGAGCTGAAAGGGGCAGCTTTGGGGTGGGTACACAGATCTATTTTGGGGTGGGTACACAGATCTATTTCCATTTCCCCCAGCACATATAAAAAAGTACGTGGGGACAATCACATAATAAATGTGGGCAGAAATTAATCATGAAACTAATCAGGTAAAAGTTTAAGCAAAAAAAAAAAATAAAGTTCTGTGGCCACCAATTCTTATTTCCTGCTCTTCCAACCTCTTTAGTAACAACTGCAGAGAATAACAGGGCAGATATGGGCACTAGAGACACCAAAGAGGCTGCTGAGTGAAACTCCTGCCTTATCTTCACTGGAAATGGAAAAAACACCTGACCAGCAGTGCCTTTACTCATTCTCACCTTTGCTTTTTAATTCTGGAGTTGCCAGCAGGCTGCTCTGCCTGGCAAGGGACAAACATTGGTCACAGGTGCCTGAGCAACTGCTGAAATCCTAATCCCTGGTGATGCCAAACACCTCTTGCAAAGCTTGGAATCCTGGTAAACCACTTTGTTTGTTTTAAAGAAAAAAACTTTTTTTTTGTTTGCTTTTAATAACAGAAACATTTGAAAATAGCCCTGACACTCCCTTCTATTAAACTTGGGTGGTTTAAACAAATATTACAGGTAAGGGGAAAAAACAGTGGGAGAGGTTTATTTCTTTGTTTAACAAAAGGGCCCAAAACACCAAATTTGGGGGAAATAAAGACATCAAGAGTGGCACTTCAGAGATCAGCCAGCATTTGAAGGTTATGGAGGGAAAAGTGGCCACTTCCCCAGCTGCAACCTGTTACAGACATCTCCCTCTGCTTCCTGAAAGATTTCAGATTTCAGAGACATTCAGGACTCAAATATAAATCTCTTGGAAGAGCTGGCTGTAGAAACTATCTCAAGGTGTTGCCAAGATTCAGTCCATGAGCAAGAGCAATGATTTCTCCAGGTCTATTTTCATTTTACCCCTCCACAAAACTCTATTATCCATGATGGTCATGAAAATCCACCCCAGGCTGGATTTGTGCACAAAGCAGCAGAGATTGAAATCAAATATCACCCTGAGCTATCAAATTGTGCCTACACCTGCTCTGTGTCAGTGTGAAGCCATTTCTCCTTGTCCTGTAAAGCTCCATCCCTCTGTCCCTGTTTCCTTCAGGTACTGGAAGGATTCCTGGGCACTTTTATTTCAGTCAGGAAACAAAACCTTTAACCCTTCAAACAGGAGTTAAGTGGTTACAAATCACAGGGGTTTTCTCCTATTGCACAGGTTTTATGTAAAAAAAGAGCCTTTGCATTACTTTAAAGGCAAACCCCCCAGCATTAAATGAGATTTAGTGAATTGTGCTGGCAGAGGGAGGGGCTGGGGCTGCAGCTCTGGGGTTCCACGTGGTCCTCAGGGAGCAATGCAGCAGCTCAGGGGTGCAGCTGCCAGGCCAGGCCGTGCTCACAGCCCCCAGGCTGCTGCTGTCACTCAGGGCAGCAAATCTGGCAGTGCCTGAGCCTCCTCCCAGCCCGGGGGCTCTGGGATCACCCAGTCTGTGCTGCCCTGCCCTGCTCCCACTGCCCGGGCCCTCCCTGGGCACCTTCTCCCTCTGGCCACCTCCACCAGGATCTCCTTGTTTAAAACACGGGGAGAGCGTTGGGAGAGCTTTGATTTCCCCCAAAACCACCTCGGCTGCACTCAGATTTGAACAGAACAGGCAATTTCTCCTCCTCAGTTCCTACCTTCCTCCTGTGCTCAGACACAGAAACAAACCAGGTTAGAGACCAGCTAAACACAGAAACAAACCAGGTAAAGTCCAGCTCCCACAGCACGGGCAGGAGCCGGGCATCTCTGACACTGCTCCAAAACACACCCCAAATTCTGGAACCAAACAATCCCAAGTGGTCTCTGCCCAAATCCTCCTCTACCAACACTCAAAAGTCTCCAAGAAGGGGTTTTATTTCCATGTGGAACAGTTTTACAGCAATTCGGGGGGACAGCAGACACAGCGAGCCAGGACACAAAGCCACCTGTGCACCTGAGCTCATTCCCCCCTATTTTTAAAGCCATTACAGGGCAGTTGGAAAAATCAGTTTTCCTCACGGGGCAGTTTTCCTTTCTCCGGACTGTTAATGCCGGTGGTTCCCTCGGTCCCCGATGACCTCCAGTCCCAGCCCCGCCGGGTTCCGGGCGCTCCTGGTGGCTCAGCCCGGCCCCGGTGGCCCCAGCCCGCTCCCGGTGGCCCCAGCCCGGCCCCGGTGGCCCCAGCCCGGTCCCCGTTCCTTACGTGCTTCAGGCACCGCTCCTTGAGCTTCTCCACCGTGGTGTCCTCGGGCACCTCCTCCAGCCACTCGGCGCCCTCCATGGTGCACACATGGAGCCTCAGCACCTTCCCCGCAAAGATCTTCTCCTCCTGCACGAACATCGCTCCGGCTCCCGGTGCCGCCGGTCCCGCCGCCGCCGCCGCCGCCTCAGCAGGCCGCGGGCCGCTGCCGCCCGCCCATGAAGGTGACCCCGCCCGGCCCGGGGGAGCGGCGGCCCGGCCCGGGCGGCGCGGGGAGCGCTCCGGTGGCTGTGCCCGGCGCGGCCCTGCCCGCTGTCACCGCCGCTGTCACCGCCCGGGCCCCGCCGTCCCTCCGGGGACACGGCGGCGCTCCCGCCGCGGCCGGAAACGGAAATGCTGGGAACGGCAGGGGCATGCTGGGAAATGTGGTTCTACCCCGGTGGGCTCCTCCGGAAGTGAGGACATAAAACCCCCCCTCCCTTTCACGCCCCTGGGCGGGCAGATGAGTTTTAAATCTCTAATAAACCTTTAATAAACCTTGAATGAATTATTAATGACACTTAATGACGTTTAATGACGTTTAGGACCGTTTATCAACGGCTCCTCAGCGCCGCAGTTAACATGGAGTTGCCCCGATGCATTGTGGGATCGCGGTTTCGGCCCGTGTCCCGGTGCGCGCTGGGACTGCGGCGCTGCCCGGTGCATGCCGGGAGTTGTAGTTCCGTCCCGCGGGGCTCGGGGGTCCCTGAGGCGGCCCGGGCAGGGCTGAGGGGTGGCGGACACTGCGGGGACACCGGGAGGCACCGGGGCGGTGCTGCTGTCCCGGGCGGGGCGGGACGGAGCGGCTGGGGCAGCGGGCATTCCCCGGCGCGCCGTTAGAGGGGGCCCGCGGGCCGCTCCCGGCCTGCCCGCGGACTCAATGCCCGGCAACAGGAATGATTTCCTTTTATGTTTTATTATTAAAACTTTAAATGTGTCATTCAAACTGTGTTATTTCCTACGGCTCGTGCCCGAGCTGCGCCGGTCTCTAGGGTTCGGGTTTAGCGAGCGTAGGAGAGCAAAGTTTTCACGAGTTTAAAGCACCGATTTATTTAAATTAAATCCATAAATTCCCTCCAGAAGTGGCTCTCCGGCGTTCCAGCTCCAGGGATTGAGAGTGTGGGTTTCTGGTGGAGGCATTCTGGGGGTCCGACAGGCCCAAAACACATCTGTCACATCTGTCCCACTTGTGCCATGTGAAAAACGCCAGTCACTTGTTTTTAAAATTTTAAAAGTTTAATAGTAATAAAATGGTTATAAAATAGTAATACAAATAGAGTAATAATAATTTGGACAATTTGAATTAGGACAATATGAGACAATAGAGACAAAGAGTTATGGACAGTCCGGGTACCTTTTTCTGGGCAAAATAAGCCCAAAAAAGGACCCACGTTAACAGAGGATTAACCCTTAAAAACAATAACCTGTTGCATATTCATATACCTCATACATGATGCATAAATTCCATTCAAACACAGGATTCTGTCTGGTCAGTATCAACTTCTTCCTCATAATCCTAACGGCATCATCCTGCCCAAGCAAGGCAGGAAGAAGTTCTTTTCTCCTGATAATGGAGCAATAAATTCTCTTTCTCTGAAAGATTCAGGTGTCCTGTGGCTGCTATCTCACTGTGAGTCCTTTCTGTAGAAAAAAAAAGTACAATACACAGCACAGTTTCTATTTTAACATTTTGTTATAACCTAAAACTATATTTAACACACTACTCTAGAGAATTAATACAGCATAACTTTCGAACACAATGCATATAATGTTCATTTGAATGTTTGTGAAAAGCCAATCATAAAATATGCATTTTTCACGTGCCACATCTGTCCCAGCTGTGTTGGATGGGGAATTCTGCAGAGCAGCCCCAGGATCTGTCTGTGCCCAACAAAAATCCCACTGAACAGGGCTGGCCATGCTCTGTCTGCACCCATATATGCTCTGACTTATTTTCCCACTCTTTCCTGCACCTGACACACTCTGGGGTTTTTTAGTGTTAAATACACTATTAAAGGGGGTTTGAAATGAAAAATGGGCACTGGGGTTGATGGATTTATGAGATGGAGCTGTTCTTGTTTGAAAATAAAAGGAATCTGTGGTGTGTTCGTCCCTGAGAGCAAGCCCTGCACTGTCCATGTGTGGGGTTGGTTAAACAGCTGGAACTGAGATAAATCCTGCTGGAATCAGGCCCAGAGACAATAAAGGCAATAAAGTGTCGTGTGAGGAGGAGCTGAGAGCTCTGCAGAGCCAGAGCTGGAGCCCGTGGAGGAGCAGGGTTAATTTGGGGCTGCCAAAAGCTGTGACAGGGAGCCCCAGCCCAGGGCTGCCTGTCCCTGCTGTTTGTCCTTGTTCTGCGCTGGAGCAGAAGCTCCCAGAGCTCCAAGGGGACATTTCCCATCCCATTTTCCAGCCTGCCAAAGAATCCCAGCCCTTTCCGCCGTGCCCAGCCCCAGAGCCCACGAGAGGGAGCAAATTCCTGCTCTGCAAACTCCTCCAGCAGCAGCTCCCGCTGGGAATAATCCCATGAATTTCCCCAAAACCACAGCCCTGGAGCTCCTGGGTGACACCAAGTCCTTGTGATGGGCTGAGCATGACACCAAACCCACCCTGAAAACTTCTCTTTCCCGCTGATTCCTGGTGGTTTTGCTGCTTCCACCTTTTCCCTGCCCCATGGAGGGAGCTGAAGTTTGGGGCTGGCTCAGGAGGTGCCACCCAGAGCCCTGGAGTTGGGGACAACCAGGATAAAGCTTTGCTTGGAGTTGTTTTAAAGCAGCCAGGGAGCAGGGAGTGATGTCCCAGCAGGAGAATTCCAGAGATCTGGAGCTCCCGGTGTGCCCAGGACCTTCCACAGCCATGCAGGGTCTCTCAGCAGCCGCTGCTGCAGAGGAGAAGCAATGTCTGGGAAAAATAAAAGAGATTTCTGCTCTCTGGCCATCTCTTGCACTGAAGCAGCTCTTGCCTAACAGGAGTGGAATACTTTATTTCTGTGCTTTGAATGCAGCTCCAGTGTGCTTGATAAAATGAACCCATAAAATTGCAAATATGAGGCAATTTGACTACTGATGGCTAATGCATCACAAGGGCCCAGGGAATGGGAGCATTTAAAAATACCCCATCGAAACACTGGGCACTGCCTCCTTGCCTTGCTCCACAGCAGAATAAATAAACAATATGTGTCTATTACCTTGGTATTGTCCAAAGCCTAAAGAATGAGTGCACAGTGTGCTACTTGCTTTTTTATGGCTGATCCATTATGCCCACAGACCAACGTGGGAATGAGGAAAGGGGGAAGCAAGAGCTCTTTCCCTTGGAGGAAAGGCTCCTCTTGTTTCACATCCCCAGGGGAATGATTTTCTGACCTTGACCTGGGGTCTCCTCCAGTTTTGGGGTGCCAGCAGAGCCAGGGGAGAGGGGACAGAGCCCACAGCCCTCAGACACCCCTGGTAGTGCAGGGAAACAGTGAGGGAGCAGCTCAAGATCAGTGTTGATTCCTGCAGGAAACGAAACCCCAGGGAGCTGACAAGGAGCACAAAAAGAGACTTTTCACAGGGGAGGGATGCCAGGACAAGGGGGAATGAGTTCAGACTGACAGAGAGCAGGGTTAGGTGGGATCTGAGGAGGGAATCCTTGTCTGTGAGGCCCTGGCACAGGGTGCCCAGTCCCTGCAGTGCCCAAGGCCAGGCTGGGTGGGGTTTGGAGCTCCCTGGGACAGTGGGAGGTGTCCCCGCCATGGCTGGGGTGGGATGGGATCACTTTTAAGGTCCCTCCCTACCCAAGGTGTGGGAGCAGGACCTGTGCCCTCCCCAGTCCCATTCCTGGGCTGGTTTCTCCTCCTGCAGGGACTCCAAGAGCTGATTCCAGAGCAGGCAGAGCTGGCAGAGTGGGAGCATCCAGCCTGGGGGAATCCACGCCAGCACACCCCGTAATCTCTTCTAAATTGTCTGAGAGTGGGAGGAATAAAAGAGACTGAAAATTACACACCTTCCCCCCCCACCCCTCCCAGCTTTTCCTGGGCAATCTCAGAATTTATGGAGACAACTCCTGTGGGATGCTCCATCATGTCATCCAAGACTTGAGTATCGACTCCTCTCGCGCCGCCGCCGAGGGAAGAAATATGATAACGGGTGGGATAATGAAGCGGACATGTTTGCTCCAAATCAAAGCTGCTCTCCCTTCAGCCAGGAGAAAAGGGTAAAGAACTTCCCCTTCACGATATTTTTCTCAGTAATGCGTTTTGACAATTTAATTTAGAAGTCATAGAGTAGCGAAGACAAAGTCACCCGGTGGGTGGACACCGGCGAGTTCAGTTGCCTTTGTGATGAATTGGTGATAGTACAGAGATGACAAAACAACACAGGGGGACAAGGAGGAGGCTGGCAGCACTGTCGAGAGCAGGCACAGGATAAATTGAATGCTACACTTCATCCAGGAGCTTCAACATTCCCAGGCATCCCGACGTAATTTATGAATTGCAATTAGCATTTTATTACGGCTCGTGCCCCAGCTCTGCCTGTCACTCGGGTTTAGGTTTTGCAAGAGTTGCAGAGCCAAGTTTTCCCTAAGTTTAAAGCACCTATTTATTTAAATTGAAGTGATAAGTACTCTCAGGAGCTGGCTTTGCTGTTCTCCAGGTGGAGAGTGTGGATGGGTTTCTGGTGGGGAGGTTTTGGGGCTCTGGTGGCACACACGTGTTCTGCTGCTGTCCCAGGAATGCTGTGGGATTGCTGTAGGATCAGCAGCACGGCAGCCCTGGGCAGCAGCAGGACCAGTCTGTGCCCCACAGCCCCAGTTTGGGCTCTGGGCTCTGCCCCTGCTCCCCACTGGGCTCTGACTCCTCTCTGTGCAGCTCCTGCAGAGCCCCATCCTGATCTCTTGGGTCTGATGGCTCCCAGATTTATTTCTCCTTTACCTGAGACGTGGAAACTTCCTTCTCTTGCCCTTTGGTGACTTCTCCAGTGGGCCAGCAGAGGAGCAGCCACTCCTGCTCCCTTTTCCATCCCATCTGCTTCCCTTGCCCTGCAAACAGAAAATCACCTTAAAAACCTTTCTGAAAACGGTGTTTGAAGCTGGAAACTGGGGGACTTTGTGGGCAGCAACCACCAAATTTCCAGCCCTGCTTCAGGACCCAGAGCACCCCA